AAATATCATGAGGACAACTATCCTTTATGTGTATTGAACTTCTTAAGAAAGAGCTTTCCCATTGATAATAAATTTTCTAAATCATCCACTTAGACAAATTCGTAGAGCAAAACAAGGCTTCCATTCGCAAGCAAAAAACCGGTTTAAGGGTTTTGATTTTTTATGAATGATTTCTGAGTAAAAACATATTAGTATAAGAGCTACTACTATTTTCATATTATTTCGTTCCATAATTTTTATTATTTTGAGGTGTATCCTGAAATAAATAGACATCCTTACTGTGCGAACTAGGCGGTTTTAATGAATTTCACCGCTTTGAGTCATCTCACTTATTTTGGTGGATTCCACTTTTCTTTCAAAAGGCAGTTAATCTATACTCAACTAAATAATATCATGAGATATTTCCCAAAAATACCACGCGTGGTGAAGCACTTTTTTAAAAAGTTTCAAGCCTCACCGGCACTTAGCACAACCCAGGGTTCACGACGGGGAGCCGACTGGTATGAACCCCATCTAAACTCGACTTGCACCGGCTTATTTCCTCCAGGTATATACTTAATTGAGTGCGACTCAATTTTTCTTCTTCCCTTTGTTTTTGATAGTTATTAATAAGAGTAATAACTCCATAAAATGGAATATTGCAGACAGTCCTCTATTATACTATTACCGATTCATGTATCATATAAAGAACCTATGTAATTATAGACAATGCGAAAACAAGTTCCACTAAACACTATAGAAGATTTGAAAAAGCCTCGAAAATCATTTGTTTACAAACTTATATTGGTAGAATCGCTGCAAAAACGGAAGAATATCCCGAGACTTCTTCTCTTTAAAACAGGCATGGGCAAAGTGCGCTCAATCGGCTCACCTAGCTTCCAACCTCAATTAGGCCAATGACTATAAAAGAAGGGGTCCTATTGTACCGTGCAGGTAGTTGGAGGGGCGAGACCACGATGCTTGGGTCAGAGTGGGGACATCGTTACGTCATTCAACGCGCAAAAATTTCAATTTTTGAACGAAAAATATGAATATTTTTCTTGCTGCATTATGCATTGTTAAAAAATATCAATTAATCATTTTTCCCTCTATCAACTTCCGCATAAAATTCCATTAAATAAATTACTCTGAATTGAATATTTCGGCAGCAAATTAATTGAAAAAAACTGTTGAAAAGATTTTTTAATTTTTGTTAATACTGTTTGAACATTCCCTCAGCAGTATTTTAGAAATTTAAAAGAGTTTTTACCGTGAAAAAGCCCAAGAAAACAAGAAATTTGAATTCCATAATTTCATGACTTTTTGACTTTATTTCATTATATCGATCCCACTGTTAAACATTTGAAAATTCATCCATTTCCAGTTAACCACGAAAATGATTGATTACTGCAGAAAAACATGAAAATTATTAGCTGTAGAGAGTGATCGAGCAAAAATAATTGAAAAATGTTCCCAGAATAAAAAATATGTGGTCTGGCTCACAATTGTGGAGTGAGTGTCTGCCAGACAATTATTTGGGATTTTTTCCAATATGAATATTGAAAGAATAAATAGATTCATACAAAAAATGAAGTTAAAAGAATCCGTTCATATAAATTATTTGAGAGAAATTTCCTTGCAGAATTTTCATGGTAAAATCATTTTGAGTTATCTCCTTTGGCTCCTATATCGGCAAAAAATGAGAAAAATAGATTAAAATGTAAGGAAAAATCCCATTCGTTTCAAACCCAGAGCTTTCTGTGGGACATTTATATTAAAAAAAACTTCTAAAAGAATCCAATCACAAACTTATATAGGTTTGGTTTTATAGGTCAAAAACGACCAGCTTATAAAACTTACATACATAATTTATTGATTGAATTTTAAAGAACTGACATCTCATTTTTTTCCAATTTTTACTAAAATAATTATTCAACATTAAGGTAACCAAGAAATAATTAATTTCTGGCACCATGTTGTTTGAACCATTACCCCCGATACACCTGAGGATTTACCACGTTCAATTGGTGAAAATTTGTTTGAATTTTTAGGCGGTAAGGTTTTTTAAATTTGAAAGAAAAGCGGGCGGTGCTCTCTCCGTCTAACTGTGCCCCACTTCGTACACGCTGCTACTCCCACCCTGACTACGCTGGGCTCCACGCAATTGGGGTATTGTATTTCTGATAATGGGTCTAATAGGGTTTTATGGCCCCGGCTCCCGAGGGTCCGACTTTGCCCATGCCTGCTTTAAAAGCATGAATTCTGTAGGCAAACTCAAGAATTTGATTGGGGGACTTTAATATTCGCATTGAACTAATCAAAAAATTAAGAATAAAAGCTACATATTTATGGAAATCGCATGTAAAAAATCAGTGATTCAATGAAGGCCAGAGTATCAATTTCCTAAGAAAAAAAAATCTTTTTTGCAAAAAATATATTCTCCTCACCAGTAAATCTGACAATTATGACGTAAATACTCCCATAAGATCTACTAATCCCAAATATATTTTCTTGTGGTCAGTAATTATTCTCGGCAAAAGAATTTTTTTTTTCTCTGAGCCGCATTTGGGTATTTGGTAAACCAAATTTTTTGCTTACACGAGCTTACCGAAAAATTGACCGAATTTAAAACAAAAGTAGACGTAAGATACCGACTGCATGTTTCTTGATGTTCAAATAGTCGTAACTTGGGTTTGCGCAGAGATAGATGGATGAGTTTGAACCATTCGAAAGCTAACTTCGTAAGCTTTAAAATTATATGGGATATATGTAATTTGTATATAAAAGGGGGAGGCATTGAGGACTGAAAGAATTTAGTGTCTGGGATAGACAATGATTTTTGTTATAAGAATTATTCTGTGAACTTCAGATCACTTTAAATGAATCGCTCTTTACCCCTGTACCCCCTCTTTTTAATTATTCCTGTTTTTTTCAATGTTTCTGTAACCATTGAAGTGGTTTCTGCAACACAATTTGAATCCCAGGTTTTTATATATTCTAGGCTAACAAGATAAAATTCCAACTAAAGATCACATAGGCCATGTGGGCCTTTATCCATGAGTAAACCTTAAATATTTTCAAGAAAAAAATATTGAAATACGCTATGATGAGATTTGTAACTCAATGTTAGAGTTTAAACCGTTCGAGTCAGTTTTTTTTTGGAAACTAAAAAATTAATTCAAAAAGATGGACCAGAAAACGACAACGTTAATGTGGAACTTTTTTTCTCGGTTGCCGGCAACTTAACGAAATATATTGTTATCCTCCACACACATCTCAGTTCTCGCTCCGATATCGAAGATGCAATAAAAATCACAAAAAGTTCTTCTGACGTATGGAAAGCTGTAGAATATGTGCAAATTTTTCAGAGACACCAAACAGAAAGTGGCTGGCTTGACGAAGAATGAATCAAGAATCAAAAGGCCTCGTAGATTTCAGTATTCGAAACTCATCATAATTGTTCATAGTTGAATCACGAAAGAAGAGAGATTCGTGTAACAATCCATCTGTTTTTTCATTCCGTATTGAAATCAACAGATAATTTGATGAAGAAGACAAAATGATTTTTCACTACAACTAACAACACTTATTTTCTCTAAGAGATTCCGTTTTTTACTGCTGATGCTGCATTGCTGATGAATAAATAATTAATATCATGTAAATATTCCATTTGGCTATAGCATTTGGTTAAGAATAGGGTACCCTCTTAATAAGCCATATTATAGTGTACTCTCGTAAATTGCACTCTAGAACTATTGTTAACGCACTTAATCAATCGCTATTCATTTCTCAGCCGAACCCAATAAAAATAATAGTTATTTTATTGCTCATTGCATAATTTTCCACTACGATAACTTTCAATATTTATATGTTAATTTCACAATTTTTCCCCCTCTTTGTGTTTATTCTGAATAACAGCACGCATGCTTCATCCAACGTGCAACAAGAATATAACCGGAGCATTCCCATCGAATCAATACACTGTAATGATATAAATATTAGTATAACTGGAAACTTCAATGAAACTGCCATAAAATTCTATTTCTTGCATAGTATTATTTCAATTGTAAATGCTCTTGGGAGTTATTCAGTTGCATATGAAAATATCAATTCTATTCCAATTATTCAATGGCATTCCCTGGATAATACTATTGTAGCAAGTGATGGTGTATTTTCTGAAAAACTATATCACATCATTTTTTATTTGAAAAATAGATCTTGGTATTTTTGTTCAAAATCAAAAACCCCTGAAATTATTCTGTTACTACACACAGAGAGATTGCTTGGAAAAATTCGAATGCTAACCCGAAAAACAGCGGCACGAGTTACCAGTTAGAGAGTATTTTCAATTACCAACACTGAATAGACAGTAAAACTCGCCAATTTTCCGCTGTTTGTTCATATAAATTGACGTTCTTTCCAACAAACTTTTCAATCACTATTGGCTGGATAGACATATAATTTTATAATAGGCAAATTTGTCTCACACTGGTCTGAAGTTTTCATATAAATGCAAATGTAAAATTTTACCAGAAAAAATCCATAGCATTATACTTGTACATGTAAGTATTCATCGAACAGTTGGTAACGTGAGTAAAGTTGGAGATTTCCCGTACTAGCACTAGGATTTTTCCTTAAAATTTTTCTCTGTGTAAGAAATAGATATTAATAAATTGATTTCCAAGTAATCCTACATTTTTTGGAAATACTGGAAGAATAGTTTACTCATACTTTTCGCGAATTGTCATTGCCACTTTACTATTGACCACTTTTCACATTTAATAATGATCCCTAGATTAGTTTCATTATGTAATGATGAGTCTGATAATAAAGGTTGAGATTAGTTCTTACTAGTTAATAAAATAATGGGGATTGTTAATGAGACAGTTAATTCTGAAAAAATAATTCCCAATTAGTGATTAGCTGAGGGAAGCAGTAGATTAATAAATTTTCGCTATCACTTGGGACTGGGGCTGGGTATAACGATTTCATTTGTCATTTCGAATTGTCGTTGTCCACAGAGACCCCACTATGGCTCCTCCTGCAAATAGCACCAATCAAGAACGAGAGAGACCTCGTTGTCCTTTTCCTGCTGACCTTCAGGGATATCACTGCCCTGAAACAGCCAATAGAGACAGACGACAGCAAGGGTGGACTCTCCAAATTTGCCAAACTTGCCAGGTCTGTTACCAGATCCAGGTCAGTTCTTGTTTCCCAGTTCAGCTCACACCTTCCAGCCTTGAAAGACACTACGTTGCCTACTGCAGGCAAGCAGTCTCACCTTGCACATGTAAGTATTCACCGAACGTTTTTTTTTTCAATTTTCCTAAACAAACTGTGCAAGGAGAAAATAAATATAATGTATGAACTTCAACCTATTGTTAAAGTTAATGAGTTCACTATCAGTACTTTACGCTTCTAAATAGTCATTTATCTATCGTTTATAATGGTCGTTTCGAAATTTAAAATTAATAAAAATCTTTTCAAAAACATATCGACATATGTGGATATCCGCATTGGAAGGGCCCATTTTCTCAGTTTTGGAAAATACATCTCTTACAAAACAGGCCACTTTGTGGAAGCTTATTTATTCAATGATAATCTGGTAATTTAATCGCAATCAATACTGGTTTATGTGAAGATGAGTATTTCCTATGTATTCAACTCATAGTCTATTTAATTTCTAAATAGAACGCAAGATAGTAGTCTCTTGAACTTTGATGTCATTGTTCCGAAAATGCGATTTTTTTGCATTTTCAACTTGGAAGGCCTATAATTTCTCGATTTTTGCATATAACGGGACGTGTGGCCTCTCTAATTTTCATAATTTAATCAGAAACACGTCCATGTATATAAATCCAATGCCACAAAGGTGGGCCCTTTTCATGCGGACATCTTTATATACACAGCTACGGTGATTATATTTCGTTATCACGTCCCCGAGCTCAAAACGCCTGTATAGCGCTCTCAGCGCGACACACACAGATAAGTCACAAAGATACCGGAAAATTTCGGAGAAACTTCGGGTCGTCTCTGTATACACGACCCTCTTCTCCATCAATCCTGCCATTCCGTAATCCCGTTAAAGTTGTCTGTGCGACGCAGACAAGTCGCAAAAATTTTGTCACTCGGCAAAAAGTTGTTGTGCGAAAAAAAACTAGTAGACAGTAATCAGACGCCACGTGAAATCGAAATGAGTAAAATATTATGATAAAAAAATGGGTTCAGTAACGTTTACTGAGTAAAGAGACTCGATAGGTTTAAACAAGAGATGGGCAACCTCAGGTCGGCTAGGAGCTGCAGCCATAACATTGCTAAGGGTCCAATTATAAGGGGCCTACCGTTATTAGAAGGGTGGGGATAACATCGGGAGATGGTACATGCGCAAGATTCAAATGCGAGGGCAAAACGTTTTGAATTTTTGATTAAAAAAATGATTTTAAAAAAATGCAAGTAATATATTTTTATTTTAAGTCTGTGCCTTCGGCTTGACCCTTCGGAGATTACCTTACGTATCTAGATGAAAGGGAACTATCCAGAAACCATCTTATACCGGCCAAGCATCTCCGCGGGGAGCACGGAATATTATTCAGTACACTTACGTTTTCCGCAGCGTATGTGTTTATCCAAATGTGTTGTAACGTTCGAGATTGTTTTTTCGGCACTTAAAGTGCCCTTTTTTACTAAAATCTTTCAAAGGTGAGTATCCTTATGTCCTTTCCTTTGATTATTTTTTTTCGTTTTAGGGTTTTAGGGAACACCATTTCATCAGGCTATAGACGACCACCATTTTGAGTTCGGTATGTCGTGTTGAACGCATACACACAGACGCATCTCCGTCAACTTTCCGCACCCACAGACATTCTCTCCCTTTTGGGCTGAGGAGAGAGGGGGTTACCTCTCTTCTTTAGGAGTAGATGCAATCAATTTTGATTCCCGTGGCCTGCAGATATTCTCTCAGACATACGATGACAGTTCAAAGAGCTGGGGAGAGAGGGGCTTACCTTTCTCCATCCGGAGACCAATCATTGCGTCTAACCTCTTACATTACGACCCGGAGTCATTCACTCGAGCACGAATTATCAGCCATGCAAGCTAAACGAGAGAATTTTTAACATGTGAAATTCCTACTCGTATCACGCTCATAGTTCTCCATTAATTTCAGATATCTGACCTTGACGACCAGATTCCTTGGCAGACGTTAGAGGAGTTGTTAGGTTCGGTGCTGGACGTCTTGAGGAAGGCTGCCTTGGAATCTCTTCGAGAGAGTTGGAGGAATGACAAAGTCCGTTACCTCCCAAATGATCAGCTATTTGGCCCTGAAAATTAAATCGGCGGGCTCCTCTTGGAGAAAATTGAATTTGCCTTACCTACAGTACAAATTACAAAAGCTTTTGGCTACGCAGCTGCAACTCTTACCAAAGAGGCTGTCCACAAATCAAAAGTTAACATGTTATGCTGGCCTTTCCGCATGGCCCTAGTGATCCCCCCCCCCCCTTCGTCAATAAAATTCGAGGCTCAGTAGTACATGCCCAACTCTTTGTTCATTCTTTAAAACCAGTGAAGCACCATTTCATTTCTTAGTCTTCAGCGGTTAGGGAACTCCGACGCGAGGAGAGGATCAGATCAGCAAAGGCCGAAGATCCACAGGAGGATAGACCAATTAAGAGAGCTTGCCTAGTATCCCTAGAGAATACGATGACCACCATGTTCCAGACAGTGTTAGAATCGATTGAAGAGATAAAAAGCAAGGCTCCTAAACCGGATGACGTTTCAAATATGGAGGAAGTTTCCTCAGGGTCGGCCTCAGAAAAGTCACTTGACGGATTGAGTCAGGGACTCCAGATTTAAGCTCTTTGAAAACATCAAATCCTATACCCCAAGTTTTGTTTTGGGATCCATCCGTAAAGGAAGCTGAACCTCAGATCCCGGAACCAAAACCAGCCATTCGGGCTCAAGCGATTACATGCCAAAAACTGGGTTCTCCTTTGTGGAATAGAATTCGTTTCAAAGAAACCCCGAAGAAGCTAGGCGCGTCACCGGTCTTTAATTCACTTAAAGTAAACAGCGAATTATCATTGTTGGCTTCATCATCTTTCAGCCAAGTCGTTCTCAACGAAGCTGACTTGATGGCTGGTACTATAACACATGGACTTTTATTGCAAAGAGAGAATAAGATGACAGCATTCAATACCGATAGTCAGATACCCGGAGGTTCTCGGAGACGTGAAGGAACTTTTCCTTGGAGACTCAAGTGTAACCACGACCTCAGAAGACCTTCTCGACTCCACTTGTGCTAGAAGGGCAGAGATAATTGAACTGCGAAGGAATTTCTTCAAAAGCCCGGAACCTCATTTGGCAACTAGATTAGCTGTAACTCCATCTTTTGAGTCTCACCTTCTTGATGAGAAGCTGCTTTCAACCTTCCTCAATCAACAGGGAGAAATCGAGAAGGTTTTTTCCCAACCGGTAAAGCAAACTCCAGTGAAGGAACCTAACCTTTTTCGTGCCGATCGTTCTTAGAAAGCACTCCGCGTTCACGAACTCCAAGGTCTAAAACCTCTTCAACTTCAACTGCTAGAAAAACATATTCAAAATCTTCAAAGAACTTCCCCAAGAAGAGTGATCCCAAGAAAAGAAATTCTCGTTCTCACAGAGCATGACTATCCGTTCAAGGGAGCGCAGCTGAGTCACTAAATTCCTCGGTGGGTAGAGGCAGGGGCTCCGAAACAAGTCTTGAGTTTTTTTAAAGGTTACTCAATTCCTTCCATGAAGAAACCACCTACGGTTCCTTTCTCAAAGACGAACATGCTCAAATACACCACCAAAGTGTCTCCACGAATGTCAAAAGAAGTTGAGTCAATGCAAGGGGGTTTCACAGAAGGCATCTTGGGTCTCGGGGTTCATATCTCCGATGTTTTTGCCTCCAAACGCAGAAGGAAACTTTCGACAGATCTTCAATCTACGTTGCCTGAACGAATATCTAGACCCTCTAAAATTTTGTCTGGTAAACCAACGCACGGCACCCGCTTTTCTCCAAAGTAACGACTTCCTGGCCAAAATCGATCTTTCTCAAGCTTATCTCTACGTTCCAATAAGACAGTCCCATCGAAGATACCTCTGTCTCTCATACCAGGGCCAGCTTTACAACATCATATGCCTGCCCTTCGGTCTCTCCACAGCCCCACTGGCATTCGCCAGAATCAGCAAGTGTTTAGCAAACAGTCTTCGCCAAAAAGGAATAAGCACCTTAGTTTATCTGGACGATTTCCTAGTAGACCACCAGGATGGCCAAATTCTTCAAAGCCAGGTTTCATGTATAATAGACTTCTTAACGTCGCTGGGCTGGGTGATCAACGAAACCAATCTCGAACCATTTTCCAACCGGAACCCAACATGCTCTTGCCAAAGGATGCTTTTCAAACAGGCTGGGGCTTTCAACTGGACGGGATTCATTCAGCAGGAATATGGTCCTCTGCTCAGATCGATTGGCACATCAATCGCAAAGAACTTTATACTCTTCTGTTGGCGATTCAAATGCACAAGGATCATCTTCGAGGCAAGTCAGTCATGCTCCAGTCAGACAACAAGACAACCTTGGCATGCATAAGGAATCAGGGAGACACACGGTCACTGGTGCTGTTGAACTTGGTAAAGAATCTATTACTGCTTTTGGATCGATACAATATTCTGCCGGCCCCCGTTTTTCTCCCCGGAAAGTAGAACACTAGCAAACAGCTTGTCCAGAGAACAGACGTTACCAAACTGGCAGCTGAGCAACGAAATCCTGGAAAGAGTCTTTCGGAAATGGGGAACACCGGAAATCGATCTCTTTGGCACAGCCCGATCCAAGGTAGTCCCTCTATATGTCTCTTTGGAAGCGAGCGACCAAGAAGCAGTCTTCATAAACGCTTTCAGCAGACCCTGGAGGATGAAATTAGCCTGGATATTTCATCCGCCAGACGAAAACTGTATTTTCGAGGTGTCTCGTTTTGTGGCCCTACAACTACTGTTAGCTCTGGAAGGAGAATGCACGATCTCATGCTCCTCCGGCTAGACCCAGAGAGTTGTGATATTTTTGAGGACGAAATCCTTTTCTGGCCAGAATTTGGCTCCAAAACTGACAAGTATGATTATCGACAGTCTGGTTGGCACATCAGCAGCTCACAGAACGAGATCTTTTCCGCTGAAAGACGAAGAGTTCATTAAGATATTTCATATCTTTTCGTCACAATAAGAAATGTAGTGAAGACAGCATCAAGATCGATCATCGCAGGCTGGATCAGTACCGCGTTTAAAGCTGCAGGGCTCCAAGCTGGCGCAGGTTCAACTCGATCAACAGTAGCATGAAAGAACTATCAAAATTATATGGACTTGGATGAGTTGCTGGCTAGGGGCAACTGGAAGGGGAAAAGTAACTTCTTCAAGCACTACTGCAAGGAAATCGATAAAAGCATCAACGTAATCAAGGGGAAGACCCTCGGGGAGAATTTCAAACCAGTCTAATCAATTCTTTTGATGCTTTAAAATTTATTAGTTCCTATGTTTGTTCTATAAGTGTATTGTTTATACTACAACAATAAAAGATGAAGGTTCATCTCATTTAACTTTAGGATTCACAGTACAACTTCTTTTATTTTAAGTGCCGGCGGACTATAAACATATTTCCGAGGGGTCGAGCCGAAGGCACAGACTTAAAATAGAATCGTTTTCCACCCCAAAGGGAAGAAAAAAAGATATATTTTAGGTCGTGCCGAGACTTGACCCGAGTAAGGGCTTGCCGTCATTCGGAGCTTTCTTACTGAATAATATTACGCGCTCCCCGCGGACATGCTTGGCTAGCACAAGATGGTTTCCGGGTAGTTCCTTTTACTCTAGATAGGTGGCGTTGATTGGGGGATTTGGACAGGTTTGGGTTCACACACATGCAAAGGATACGTAAGGTAATCTCCGAACGGTCAAACCTCGGTACAGCCTAAAATATAGGTTTCCTTCCCTTTGGAGTGGAAAACGATTCTATAAATATGTTTTATTAATATTTTTTTTTTCCTTAACCCTACGATACCATCTTCACTCCCCTATAGAACATAGGAGTGACATGGGAAACCACAGGAACAACCATGACATACAGGCGGTTACTATTAGCAACCTCCCGCACATACCTGTACCTGTTGAAAAATTCGATTGAACGGGGAATTGAACCAAAAACTTTCAGAGCACTAGGTTCGCACCGAGCCACTGAGCTATCGACATCAGTAATGGAAGTGATATGATCGTGATTAAAGGACTCAGAGGCCTATACGATAGACGCGTCCAGTCTTCTATAAAGTAGCGGGCGTTTCCGCTTTTTTCTTTAATAGTAAAGGTCCTACAAAAGATAATCACTGGTATAGCAGAAGGGGTCTCTGGTAGTATCTTTCTAGCCAAGTTGATGTGGATATCCTAGGTTCAAGCAAGTACTCATTGGTGAACCGATGATACTTCAACTTAGCAAAAACCGACTTCTTTCTCTTTACAGAAAAACTCACTCGGTAGCCCGAACTCTTACCCTGGTGATAGAGAATTTATCAGCGACGCATTAAAGTGGTACGGAGTTTCTGAGAAAGCCAGCAATTATGCCATTCTCAATATCGAGCAGTACACTGTACCAGTATCAACATACTCTCAAACACTAGTGGAAGTTTTATGTCGATGACGGTATATACCCATTTATTACCTTAACTCAAATCGTTTTACGGTATTTGATGGAACTCGAAAAAAATCCAATTGCTTTGCTACCTTTAAAACAAGCAGAGCTGCACTCTCCTTCATCTTCGGCCCGAGCATCGTAAATCACCCGTTGGTGAATCGTTTCTTTAAGGGAGTGCACCGTAAGTGCACAGAAGTTTAGAATCCTCGCCCTGTCATAAATTATTCGAATAAATTATATTCAAATAATGAATTCAGTCTAGGATCCATCACAAAAAAACTCGACACTCTCTTCGCACTATATGCACAGCTCGGGGTCAAACAATATCACTAATCATGGTGAGCAATGTTCAAAAACTCGGAGTTAGGATAAGGATTACAGTTACTGACAGGATAAAAACGTGGAGTACTTTATGCAAAAGGCTGGACTACGCGCAGCCTCACTTCTACTATCCCATGTTTGAATAACTAAATTGATTCGACAAGGTACTGATGATATGCTGGTAATGATTGCTAAAAAAACTTTACCATGTGGTATCACGCCAATCGATTAGCACGTGGATTAAGGAAACACGCGAGGTCACTGAAATTGACACAGATATATTCTCTGCACACAGCAAACGCAATGCTGCTACTTCTTCGCGGGATGGTTGGAAAAATCTCATGTTTTCCAGATTTTATAATTTAGCGGTCCTAAATGAAATCGGTTTCGCCAAAGCAGTTATATTTAACCAGTCAAACGCTGATGAATAAAAAGTATTTGATTTATTCTTTGTTTGAAAAAAAGGGCATTCAATAGTCAATGCCAGTATATTGGTAATTTCGTCACTTTCAAAATTTCATTTAGTTCTTCAAAATAACATAAATACATAAAAATAACGTACATACATTTCTCTGTCCACACTCATTAAATTACAATATCTCTAAACTGCTACAGTTGTTTTGATCTGGAGAACGCGACAGCGAAATATAATTATATGATCGATCGCAATTACCTTAAGTGATGATCGACTCTAATTATATGAACTGACTCGTCCGAAAAGATTAAAAGCCCTCCCGCTGACAATAAACCGATCCCTGGTCCCGCAATTCCTGAACCTGGGGATTGTAATGTAACCATCTTTACTAATTAATGGCATTTTAGAGCGGCAGAATTAGCGGAGAGGGGGGGTCGCGTATACAGACGCGCCCCGAAGTTTACCCGAAATTTTACAATTTCTTTGTGACTTGTCTGTGAGGGTCGCGCTGAGAGTGTTATACAGTTCTTTTGATCTCTTCGGATGAACCAGCTCATATAATTAGAACTGATCATCACTTAAGGTAAGTTCGATCAATCAGATAATTACCTCCTAATTTAGCATCGAAACGATCGTTGTGAACTATAATCAACATCAATTGAAGTAGAGTATCATGCAACAGGCCCAGACATTGAATATTTCTATCGTAGCAGTTTCATCTAATCTTTCTCATACATCGATAGAACGGTTCTTATTATTACTCTCACCATCGAACTCGGTCAAGAAGGTATCCAAACATTAGTATTTTTCTAATTTGGGGAGGTTAAATAAAGGGCCTTTAACCACGTGCCAGTGCCAAATACTAGCCGAGCCAAAGGCGAGGCTTATAGACACATGGTCTTTTATTTCACCACCGGAAGTTAGAAGAGGATTTTCCGCTTCGGCGTAGAAGGAAAGTTAGTTAGGTAATTCATGGTAAAGAAATATGACTTAACTCTCGCCAGGGCGGAGAAGTATCCCGAGTGGAAATTATGTTAGGCGAGCCTGAGGTTTGATCAGAACTTGATATGGCGATGGTCTGTGTGAACTGATCAGGCAAACTTGATAAGAAACTGATCAGTCTTTGATTTACCCAACCTGACCCCTACTACTCTGATCAAGTTCTGATATGGTGAGCTTGATCTGAACCTGTGGTTCACTCATCTGTGATCATTCTGGTCAACTTCGGATCAGGTAAGCCGGAACTTAATCTGACTTCGCCCGCCTGCAACTATTCGGACCAGGTTCTGATCAGGTCAACGTGATCTGAAATTGAGCTGCCCGCCTGTAATTACTCTGATCAAGTTCGGATCAGGTGGACCTGAACTTAATAATTCAATTATTGACTTGTTATTATTATTATTATTATTATCAAAAGTATAATAGGTGAAATTTTAAAGTAGTAAATTTTCACTTTTTAAAGTGAACCAATACCCCGAATACACATCGTATAAGCAAAACAGTTCACTCAATAATAATAACGCGATAGTATAGTGGTTAGGACATAGCATTAGTACTCGTAAGGTCCCCGATTCAATCCCAAAAATAAAGAGGTTTTTTTCAGCATTAATTATAGTAGGTATCCATTGATAGGTAAATATAATCTGAAAGGTTGATAGTTGATCCATTGATAGGTAAATATAATCTGAAAGAATGATTAATTTTTTATTTTAAATTCATTACCGTTGATAAACATCTTTAATTTCGGTTATCAAGAATTTATCCGTTTTGTTTGATCAAACCCTGATTCGGTACGCCTGATCAAATCCGCATGGAGTCAAAGCGTTACATGCTTGATCAAGTTGTAGGATCAGTACCTGACCCAGCATCAAGTCTGATTTGATCCAAACTTGATCCAGACCTGAGCTAATTTTCCACTCGGGTATTTAAGCCGAGCGACAAAAAAGATAACACGATTTGTAAAGAAATCGTCTTGATTTGTTTGTCATTGAAATCAGTACCAATCTGCCCAGATGATGTCTCTGAGCGGCGATGTGATGCCACAGTATCGTCAGGAAGCACCAAAGACCCCACCTCACATACTCCTCCACTACTGTGCGTTCAAAGCAATTTGGGACTGGATTATTCTCTGTTTAACATTCTATACCGCCATAATGGTACCATACAATGTGGCCTTCAAGAACAAAACCAGCGAAGACGTGTCGCTGCTAGTTGTTGATAGTATCGTCGATGTTATATTTTTTATTGACATCGTCCTAAACTTTCATACGACCTTCGTGGGTGCTGGTGGTGAAGTTGTATCCGATCCAAAAGTAAGTTGAACTATTATCTATTTTTATATGGTTATGCTTGTTTTACCGGCTGACTGAAATTGTACGATTCCTAAATAAACATAAATATATGTTAATGTATAGCTATACACACTTTGACAGCGCTAGTACGAAAAAATGGCAACGAACCGAAGAACAAAGTTCGATATAGATTTTTTTTTCATATTTCACACGTTTTCCGGTGTAGGAATTTGCGAACTTGCAGACTTGGGTATTGTATTGGCAGCATCTGCTTACCAACATTCAGTTGTCGGATACTTAACCAGAACACTGGCCAGCATCATCCGCCAATACTCGATTGTTCGATATTCCGCCAATATGTCGGCCCACATCAATCCAACGAGGTTCGGTTGAGCTATGTTGGTGCAATGGTGAAGTTCCGATCTCTTGAATAAATATTTGTTGGTCGATCATTGTCCATTCATGGGCCCTACGTAGCTTTCCCAATATACGTCCCTTAAAGTAATCATTGAGTATAATTACATTATAATTAACATTAAACACTTAAATCCGTTGACATCTCATCGGAATCATCATTCATTGAGACCAGGTGAATAATTAAAAAATTCGGAAAAGGAGGCGTTTTCTATAAAAATAATAATTGCTATTATTATTGCAATTATTTTTTAATTAAATAAATTACGGAAATCTTCAGTAATGTAGTGATGATTAATTATTTATTAACTGATCAAAGAAGTTTTTATGCTCCTACTACAAGACTGAGGTATTAGGTTCGTGGTTAGGGCGTAGGACTAGTGTGCGAAAGAACGTAGGTTCGAGTCTCGACGGCTACAAAATTTGACTTCGTTGATTACTTATATGAATTGCCTCGGTACGAGCTCATGGGGAGGTTGACTATTTTAGGATGTTGGAGAAACGATTTACACAGTTCCTTTCAATAATAACCGAAGAGCACTTTCTCTAAGATTAATATAATTCAGTTGGTTGAATATTGCCATCTGAAATCAAACTACGAGTAGATTCAGTTTTACCCCCAGTACTAAGATCTTTGGCGAGGAGTGGATATCCGTTGAAGTCCAGCTCCTCCCGTAGTCTTTCATGCCGAGAGGCCTCAGAAACGCTTTGGCTCTCCAATGTTTCGGTAAGTATTCTCACAGTTTTTTGCACTAATACTCTGTGAGGAGACAAATATTTTCTGCCCTCCCCCTGCCCCCTAAGATCACTATTTTATATATTGATTTCAATTGGCATTAATTGGTCTTACGTTTACATTAAGGATGAAACAACCACAACAGGACGACACTAGGTTAGAATATTTGTCATCGTTGGGTTCCCCCATTCCCCAAATTATTCCTTCCCTCCACCCCTCTTCCCCTCGCCGTGGCACTCACCACGGAGAAAAGAAGACGGGCGGAAAAACATGAAAACCCCCCACGAACGAACTGGACACCACGTGACCCGGAAAAGAAGAAGATATGCCTCAGCTAAGCCCCAGAAATAATTATGGAAGGAAAAGGACACTCAATGAGGAATGCCCCCGATCAACCCCGATTATCACCGATAATGGGGGAAGAAGAATAAGAGGTGACTGGCATCCATCACTCGTGATACAGCCGCCCCGTGCATTAGAGACTGTGTGGAGAGAATGTAGAACAGAGGATTTTTGTAGAGAAAGTTTTGTAGACAGAGGAAGTTATGTAGAGAGTTAGTGCGGAGACCCAGGAGCGAAGAATAGAAATAAGGAAGGATTAGAAAGAAGAAAAGGAGAGGAAGTGTGGAGAGGAGACCCAGAGACGAAGGAGAATTAGGAGATAGAGTCCAGAGGATCTGTTATTGTTGACCGCCATTACCGTGAGTGCCGGTGCATCTATTCCCGGCCCCAACGAATTTTCCCTTTTTATGATAATTTCCCCCCAACGGTGAGCCTCGTAAAAATTAAGTACTAGTATACTATTATTTTCTTTGTTTGTACTAGTACGGATTGTTCACGAAACCCCCGTAGTTGATAAGGATTTTTCAGGTCGGTTTCCTAACTTCTTCCCCCTTACCCCATTAACTTCTCCCCTTTACTCTTTTATGTTGAATTTTCTTCGCATGTTGCCGCAGGCAGGCTGGCCTTACCCCTCTCCCTAGGTTTCTCAATAAAAGGCCTATCATTGACTAAAAACTTGTTGCTCACTCTGTGTTCTGATTGGAATGGAAATATACACAACTTATTAATAACATCCCCCCCCCCCCATTTTCTTTTTCTTTATTTCAAGCCCTCCCTTACATCAGTCAAATCCTTTGAATTTCCCCAACGTTCTATTTTTTCCGGTTCCATCGTTTCCTCGCCGGAAATTAACATCTTTTAATTCTCCGGCCAAGGTCACAACTCTTTCATCATTGTCAACAACAATGGTTAAACACAGTTCAATTATCTTTTGACGGAAGCAGAACTCACGTGGCCACGTGTGACTGTTTAGCTCCATCCAAATGATGAAATCGACGTGCGAATTTCTCCACAAGTCGCCATATATACATTATAATTATTTGGAAAATCATATATATGAAGTATTCCAAGTGAAACGAATGAGGGAAAGCCCCCACCTAATTCTGTATGTGCGATATTTTTTTGTCGAAATATATTCATCTAAAAATTACCACTAATATTTTTAAGCTTTTAAGACACGATCTCAGCAGTTATGATTTTTTCAAATGATTTCCGTTTAACATCACATATCACAGTTATGTTATCACATTTAACATCACAGTTATGTTATGTACATAACTGACTCAATAATAAGGCGATCCTGACTTTTTCTTAAAATGTACGCTTTCAATCCACTTTTTATTCCGTAATATGAATAGTTTTTTATTGTTCTCATTGCATAGAAACTTTGAAACAAAACCTGATAAAATTAATCGTTCTTCGGGTTCGACCGGATTTAAAATTCTCAAAAAAATAAAGTACATTTGAAACAATTGAAAATAAGGAAATACCAAAGTGGGAAATAGGCTTTCAATGATGCATCATATTTTCGGTCAATTTTCTACTGTATGTTTTTATAAATTTAAAAACGGGTTGGTTTTTTTTGGTCACATTTTCTATATAATGGAGCATTATAAAAACATTCGTATTATGAAATAAATAACTAAATTGAAACCGCACATTCTAAAACGAAAACATTGCTCCATTTTTGAGTGAGTTATACCATTTTAAACGGAAATAGTTCTAAAAAATCATAATTGCTGAGTTCATGGCCCAAAAAATCTTTTACAAAATCTAAAAAACAAGTAGGATATGCTGTGGTAATTGATATCACATAGTTTTTTTTGGTAATGAATTAGCAACTCGCTCCCGAACCGTTATTTCACCATATATAAGTGATATAACAATGTATTGATTTACATTGTTATCATTACCATTTATATTGGTAATGATAATTAATTCCCTTCTAAGAATTCTAGAACTGATTTCTAAAACTAAGTGGCTGTATAATATTGTTCACATTGCTTTCAAATTTGGATGAGATATTGTTCTAGATGAATTATGCATACACAATCAAATGAATCAAACATAACGAGTGCAAAGAAACCATCACAAAACTCACATTCAAGAAAAATGACACAAGATTTTGAATTTGTAATGACGGTAATAGATGTCACATCACTAGGTACTGTTGGTATTGCTGGTATCGAAAGTGATGTTAAAAACTCTACTTGAAATCTTTTTGAGCATAAAATTCCGAGATATAGAAGAGATTTCAATATTACAAAAAAAATAAATAAATAAACAACTATTGTCGCTATCACTTTCATCTTCGAACTCGGTTCAAAAGACACTTGAGTGAATTTTTCAAGCCATCCAGGAGTTGATTCAAACCAATTTTTTTTCAATCATCGTCAAAATTCGAAATTTGAAAAAAAAAATTGAAAAATTGAAAAAAAAAAATTATACCAATTGAAACGAATTCGAATTATTGTCGATGTATAGAGCTCGATAGTGACTACATTAAAAAAAAAAGTTACTTGATTGCATGCATCAAGTCGCGCGCAATTCAAAAAAATTAAAGGAAATTGAAAAAAACGTTTGTCACATACATACACACACACATACATACGTACGGACAGGGTCTAAAAATTGCACTTTCGAACTTTTTGGACCATAATGGATTAATCCAACACAAAAAAACAAAAACTTATTTCTGCAAGACTACAATGCTCCCGTTTCGGGAGCAAAAAGTGAATATTTTTTGAGAAAAAACTATCACACCTCTAGAATTAGGTGAGGGTTTTACCATTATCTATTTCACTTGGAATATCCTATATATGTACTATTATTTTAGTATGAAAAAACATACAAACTTTTCAACCGTGGTACATATGCTACCTTATGTCCCAAAGAATAAAAAGCGCGATCGATCGAGCGAACTGAGGTTAGGATCACCGGGACATGAACTATATTGGATATATTGTTATAGATTTTAATTATCGCACTGATAGTAGCACTTGCTGAATGTTACCAAATCATGATTCATGATATTACATCATTAACTCATGTTAATGTGACCAAGTCATGAATCATGAATGAAGCTGTTCGGCCCTAATCCGGCATGTCGGGTTGGGTATCGAACGTTCGGTGAGGGTACGATCAACCACATTCGGATCGGATTAGGTACGTTATGCATTTTTCATATTAACGGCCGGACAATAATGACCAAGCATTTACCTGATGGCATTTAATCAATTAATAAAGTGTTAGTGGTAAGTTAATCAACTTTACGAAAATAAATGAGGAAAGAATAAATTGTGATCCCGGAACGAATTGCTTGACAATACGAAAAAAAAGTAGCCACACCAGTACTTGAACCCAGGACCTCTCGGTTCGCAGTCTTGCAGTTTATTATTTTTTTTTTTTACCAAATTCATTTTTTATTCAGACGATAAATATTTACAACATGAACAAACCTTAGATATACCAGTTTTGCGTACATCATTGCTATTCGCTATAGCTGATACCATTGAAATGGTTTTACTTT